ATTTATTTATTATTTATTATTTATTATATTTTATGGGCGGTTGTGAGGAACGTGTGACAACTCGATGTCTGCATGATTTCTTTGAAAAGGCAGAAGAGAGATCAATTGTGGAAACATCGGACGTTTTTTTCCGAAGATTGTAATCAAACTATTCAATTGCTTAAAAGAGTATCGCCACATTTCAAATTGTCATCAAAGCAGATAAAGTATCATCAGGGGAACATGCTGGCAGGTTCAACGCGCCGACCGTAGATGCAGTTGCTATTATTATGGTTGATGACCAAGCTAACAACAGAGACATCTGACTCACACGTCGAGACAGAACTGTGAGTGTGATTTCAGATGTTAATCCTTCGTATGCCGCACTTCAGTATCCCCTGATATTCTGGCAAGGGCAAGAGCAGCCACAAACAGTGTGATCCAATCACTGTTACGTCTAATATACAAACTATTTAATTCCATATTTTGATGATTTTTGGAGAGTACAGGGTATTTTACGGTCGGGCCAGCTCGACTGTAGCGTTCTCTCTTGTTTTAATTTTTCTTTTTTTTTGTGGGGTGGTACAGGGTATTTAAAAGTGGAGCCCGCTCGACTTAAGCATTCCTTTCTTGTTAAAGTAGTGCTTGGAAATAAATAAATAAACGAAAGCTGCAGATTCATTTTTTGTGCATACTATATGTGGCAAGGAACAAGGAGCACATAAATATAAAATCAAAACAGCACATCAATTGGTTTTTCATATTTTAAATTTTTAGCAAAATCCAATTCCCTTGATGCCTGCATTGGTTTTTTTCTTTTGCAACGCTTTTGTTTTTGCTGTAGACGAAGGCGTGTCAGGACATGTTGCGAAACTGCCAACCCTCACGTGCCGGCCATAAGCCTTAAAGTAGCTAACGTTAAATGCCTGCGATTACACACATGGGAGCTGTAAACCGCGTTTTATGGTTTGTTTTCATTGATCAAAGACATTTTTTTATAAACATAAACTCCGCGACGTTCTGTTCTGTTCTGCTCTGCTCTGTTCTGTTCTTATGTAGCTCAGATCAACCCTCCCTTCCACATACTCGCATGCATATAGTATAATTTTTTTATGAAAGTAAATTGAGACATTTGTGTGTTCTTGTTTATAGCAAATGGACGCTGTGAGTACACGTTTTACGAGTGGGAAACATTTCAGTCACGCTCCCCAGAATTTTTGCCAGAGCAATCAAGTTTTTTGCCGCCTTTGGAAACGTTGTTAGAAATATTCGCTGAGCCTGACACAATTGCATTCTCAAACAAGAGAGAACGCTGCAGTCGAGCAAGTCCGACAGTGAAATACCCTGAATCCAGACAAACTTCCCACACTGAGTTATACTTGTAATAATAATAATTTCTTAGAATTAACCGGTTTTGATACAATTACAGCAAAAGTCGATTTTTTGCAAATTTTTGTTTATGTTGCTTTGGACATGTGGGCAGTATGGACGAAAAGCTGTAGCGGGCAGAGGGGAGGTAAAAAAATAAATAAATAAGCCCGTATAGACTAGGGACTAGGAGCACCTGCATACCAAGTTTGGTTAATGTGCGCTCAGTCGTTTCCGAAATCCAGGCGTTCATCCAGACAGACATACATACATATACTGTATGGCGTCGTTCTGCCTGTTACATACTTTGCACGCACCTAATATACTCTTTTTACCCTACACGTACAGGGTATAAAAAGAGGCTAAGTGCGTCTATATCTAGCTATGAAATATATTTATATGATTTGTAACCTATCGACGTGATAGACCGACTCGTCCTGGTGGTGGTGTACTGATCCACGGCCGGAAAGACTTCGAACAAAGGCACCAAACGATTCTGAATTTCTCGCTGCTTAAAAAAATCCTTCAATTATTTATTCTGCACACCTCCTACTCTCATATTCCATTTCTAATTTAGAGATTTATGTGAAATATATAACTTGTATACAAGAATTCTCTATGCGTTTGTTGTTTAATTTGCCGAACTTACAATCGACTTTTTTAATAGCATAGTGTTCATTTTGACATTATTTGCTGAATATTTATTTGCCTCATGGCACTATTAGTTCTCTTTTTGATGTCCATATCCCGAATACTGACATATCGCCTGCGTCTACAAATTCTCCTTGGCTTCCACCCAAGCTTTAAAACGTTTAAACATTACATCGAAATGCTTTAAAAAGAAGAAGCAGTCTCATCTTTTTCTCTTCTCTCTTCTTTTCTATCTACCTCGTTTTTCTTAGCTTCTCATTTTATATGTATGTACATACCCGTATATATGTATATGTATGCCTGGAAATTCGATTATATCTTTAAAATGCTTCATGCTCTGCTGCGTCAAATAACATTCATATGGATGTACATATGTAGTTTTATAGAATCGAACGTTATAAACTTTGATAGTTTGTATACCCTGTACCAAAGGGTAAAAGAGTATACTAGTATACTAGTATATTAGTGCGAATGTATATAATACACAGAAGGGGGCGTGGCAGACAAAGTATAAATATTATTGATCAGGATGACAAGACAAGTCGATATAGCCATGTCCGTGTGTCCGTCCGTCCGTCTGTCTGTATGAGCGCAAGGATCTCAGAAGGTACAACAGCTATAGTTACCAAACTTGGTATCCAGGTCCCCATAAGCTCTAGGCAGGTCAAGTTTACTTTTTCATTCTGAAAAGCAACTATGCCAATATGTCCTTTTATGTTAAAGGAATTATGCATTTTGATGCAAAAATTATCGTGATATGGATCCTTTTCCACCGATTTGGACAAAACCTTAATCTCCATTAGAGCTGCCGGGGCATTTTCCTTATCTTTTAAAATCTTTAGAGATTTATTTTCATTATCCCTTGTGTCCCAGACCTTGACCACGTGCCCGAAAGTTCCCACTCCTAGGGTTGCCTCAATATTATATGCATCTATTTTCACCGTGTTTCCAATTTTTCGCTTACTTCAGAAACTTTTATAGTTATGTGGAATCAGTAACATCTTTGGCTGGTTTTCCCTTCTAATACGGTAAATAGCTTCTATGGAGCAACAAAGCCTGGTGGAATTTAAAATAGTAGCTGTACTGTGAATGAGTATTTTGCAACTTACAGCGACAGGTTTGCAGCTGAAATCCCTGGTTGACCACAATTGACACAATTGGGGCGTCTGCGAATATTTCCTCGCCCATTGAAGGCGCGGCCTATTAAGGTGCCTGTACCCCTTTTATTTTGTCTACGCCTAACTGCTGCAGCTCTGGTCTACTATATATTGGTAGTGAGCGACCTAGTGTAAGAAAATATGTACAAAATACAAGAAAATACAAAATTCGCAATTCTTAGTAAAAAATATTAAGCTTACGGCAGTGATGCGAATTTGAATTCAAATCTGGTCATCTGGTCTGCTGAACTTTTGGTTTGGGCTTGTTCATTTTACCAATCGGATAGCCGCGTGCTCCGCCACCCGGCGCTGCCGTTGTATTCGTATAAATTTGGGGTACACGCACGTCCAAAAAAAGAATAGGTTTCGGTTTAGAGGTGTAATTACTTTCCAACTTCTTTTCTGTACATAAGACAGCACTTTTTTTGTTTTGTGCACACATTCGAGCATAAGAATTTGCTTGTGTTACCACATCCAATTTAGCAGAAAAAATGTTGTGAAGAGTTTCTTGTAAATACTGTGCAATCATTGACCAAAACGTTTGGAATGGTTCTTTAAAGTTAAAAGTTTGCTTCTCACTGTGAATGTCTTGTCAACGTATATTGTCGCTGAGTAGTAAACTTTTTTTCCGTTCACATGGTAATTTTTTTGAGGCTGGGAACACCGTACTAGAGTTTTGTGCCAGCCAGCTTATGATCGCACTCCAACTTTGAATTTTGTTTTGTTTCTTCTTCGCCTGGTTTATCTGCGACTCTCATTTCTTATTTACAGAAATAGGGGAATACGTTCATTAAATGCTAATTGATGCGAGACAAGAAGAGTTCCCGGCCTTGTTTTCGGAGAAATTTAAGAATTTCTTTGAAGTGATGAATGAAGATGAAGATCGTGTGGACTTGCATGCTAATTTGTTGGAGGACAAGGAGGCCCTATGTATGCGCAACGTCAATGCTGCCACAGCGCCAGGGCTGACAGACAGCAGCCCACAAGCGCCTTTGGCCGAGATGGAGCGACGACATGAGCGCCTTAAGCCACGGAAAGCAACACCGGTCTCAACCATTTGAGCTGCTGCGGCGCAGGCGCCCGTGCATGGTCGTGGCCAGGGGCAGCTACACGCGCTAGGCAGTAGTGGCAATTTGTTTTGCAAGCACATCAAATAATGCTGCCTGCATCAGCAGGCAGATGGGCAGCAGCACCAGCCACCAATTGGGGCGAAACGCACACCCACAGCAGCAGCATCAGAAACAGCGGCGCTATCTACCAAGGATATGCGAGCGACCCACGTCTCGGGCCCAATGCCGAGGATAATAGCGGCGATCTGGTGCCGGTCTCAGTCGCTTGCTGCCCGATAGACCCAGCACAGCGGCAGCTGCAACAACAAAAGCGCCATTCGGTCATTTTTGGGTTGGCGGGGTGATTACGCTATCGCAGCGGAAACGGAGCAATACCCGATATTGACCATATGCACATTTGTACACCCAGATGACCCACATTGGGGCGTGGCAATACAATAGCTAAACACTAAATAAAGGCATAAATGAAATGAATAAATGCAAATTTCTAACTAAATAATAAATAAATAAGTTATATTTTACCTACACTTTCAATTTGATTGTAATCCGAGCATACGGGAATTATATCGTAATAAGAAAATATGAGCCGCCACCGTATCTGGTATAGTACTTGTAGAAGCTAAAGGACGGATAGCCGGAGGGAAACATTAAAATAAAAATTATATAGCTACATACATATGTATATTCAATATTTATTAATTGTCATAAATGTATGTACATATCTGAACAACCAAAGGTTTTCTTCAATATCTACATTTAAAGTTCAAGTTTTTTCTTTTTTTAATTGTTAGAGACATTAGTTTGCGCCGTTAGCTCCATTACTATTCGATGGCATATCATCATTTTTTTGCAGTGCTTCAGGGTCTTCGGGGCCACTATAACGAAAAGAATTTGTACGCACATACATACATATGTATGTATGTATGTATGTGAGCTCGATTGCTAACAAAATGAAGCAAATTATAAAGTTTGCATACCCTCCGTTTGAATAACGGCTTTCCGGTGCTTTCCCATTTTCCTTGGCCAAATATTTAACCTTCACCATTAGACGGATGGTATTGCCGTTAGCTCGTGTAGCGTCAGAAACTTTAACGCGCATCACGATTCCCTCGGAAGGATTGTACATCGCCCGCCACTGACGAAGTTCGACCAAAACATTTAAATCCCTGACTTGATCTAGCAGGTGACACAATCCGGTAAAGAGGGAAGTGGAATCAGCTTCCAACAGCCAAGTGCTGTTGCTCATGCGCGGCACGCTTTTGATTATCGCGGCCACGTTGCGGCCCTTGTACTGAAATATATACACACACATACACATGTATGTATGTACATATGTAGAGTCAATCGGAAGCTGTAATTCATATAATTTCATACCTTGAATGTTAGTAAAAATCCAAAGAATAATCTCCTGCAAGAACTGCAAATGCGCTTCATTTTTCTAAATTATTTTTCAACAACTTTATTTGACGAGGCAGACCGTATCTTTCACCGTATCTTGGCAAATAGGATGATCTAAAATGAGAGATGACCGATAATAAATTCTTTAATATATCGCGCGTCTCTTACTATCGATACTTATTGCTCTTTTGATTATATCGTAGGACTAAAAGTCGTGAGAATATAAATTGTTAAAACTTTTGATGAATCCTATATATGTATTTTTTCTTACGTAATACGGTTGGAGATTATTTTGATTTCTTTATTTAATGTGCCCACAAATCGAAATTATCGGCAGTGCGAGAAGCGTACAAATATCGATATTGAAGCACCTCTGCGCAATGTAAGTCGATGGGAAAACATCGATGTTGATGTACACCGATGTCTCTTTATAAAAAATGGTCGATGCATCGCAAAAGACATCGACGTTTTAAAAAAATTAACTTTCCATGGGAAAAAATCTAATATTAGGGAGAAAATCGACAGAGGTGTTTGAAATAAAAAATGTTTATATATCAAGAGAGACTGTCATAGTATTTTACTTATTGTTGTCGACCAATAAAGTACTCGTAATATTGACGACTTGTACTTAAAAAAAAAATTATACATATACAGTTTTAAAAACAAATCATTCCTATGCGTTGCAGTTACGCATTTAAGGCATATTAAGTCTGACATTAAATACGAAAAAATGAAGATAAAACGCTTAACAATATAAAATGTATCTCACAAAATACACATTTTAATGAAACCATCAAAAAATTTATAATTCAAATATACATTCTTCGCTAGACCATACAAAAAACTTTAACAATTTTCAATTTTGGACAAGCGTCGAGGGATCGACGATGCACCGTTAACAAAAAAAACCATCGGATAACATCGATACATCGTGGTAGAAACATCGTCGATGCTCGATACATCGATGTGTTTTTTACATCCCTACTGCGCAAAGCACTTCCCTGAAACTTAATTTTCAGCAAAATCAACGCATGCTGCTCAACCGTTAATACTTATGTACAAGTATATTTATAATGCATGTATGCAGGCTCCAGCGCAGCAATACTTCCAAAAAGAAAATAAAAACTAAATCATCATTAAGAAGACACTTTAATGAACTATATTGCATTCGAAGCTACGACAGTCCACGACAATCCTCCATTTTGTACTCCACGAAACAAAACTACTTTGAGGTTAAGCTCGCCCACAACACAACAGCACATTACAAAAACACAAAAAAAAACAAAGGATTAAGCTATATACAGCTATATTAAGCATATACAGAACTCACTTAAAAACAATTATATTAAACATACTTTAAATATTATTTTCCATTTTTTACCTTAGTTGTTTAAAATAGATTTCCTATTTTTTTAAGCTTTTAAAGTGAGAGGAAATTTTGCCACAAGCTACACCACATGTCCACTAAAAACTTAAGTGTAAAACAAACAGCCGACTCTCAGGGCCTTGCTAAACTTTCAGGACTGCACTAAACGCACCAGACGTAAAATTCTCGCTATCTAGAAAGCCCTCACCATTAAGCCAGTATTAGCAACAGAAAATATCTGGATATCGGATCAGAAAAGCATCAGCTGTAAACTATTAATTCGGAACCACTTTGAAGCTGAGCTCTGCAAACTAAGCAAGAAACCAGTGCTTGGCTTGGATCAACGAACTGTGTCGGAATTTTGAAGCGATGATGATGATTTTGAAGAAACCTTGACCCCCCACTTCGGCGATTGCAGAGTCCACGAAAAAGCCGAAGAATACTCTCAAGTCGAAATTCATCCAGGCTTCTGAGTGGGTCTAAAATATGCGTAGAAACGCAGAATATTAGATGCAGACGGAAGTGGAACAGTCAAAGCGGCAGCAGAAACTGCCAAACTGTGGATTAAGTGAGTCAAGGACAGATCCCTGACGACCGCGCCTATCCACCTACCTATCTACAGATGCTGAAAAGGTTTACTATCTCAAATTTGGTAATACTTATAATAGCCAGGGGAAAGGTTATGTCGAGCAAGACCGACAATGAATAACCGGACCCAAACAAACGTCTGCCGCTGTATAATACTTGTATGCGTTGTTATTCGTGAATTGAATATCCCATAACTGCTACTTTGATAAATTTGAAATTGTGAACAAATAAAACAACCTAGTTTGGTTAGTGTGGTCTCAGGCGTTTCCGAAATCCAGGCGTTCGTCCAGACGGACGGACGGACATGTCTTGATCGATTTTTCTCGTCATGCTAATTGGGAATGAATGTACCCGCATGCATATAGTACTCTATGGGGTCGGTTGCACAAACCTAATTGTATATCCTTTTCAGCATTATTGTACTGGGTATAAAAGAAAAGGGCATAAGGAACAATAAGTGGAGTGAATAGAAATGAGAACAAGTTAGTTAGTGGGTGAATTGCATAGGCAAGCGAGTAACTAAAAGATTTTCAAGTCACAGAAATTGCGTGGAAATTTGTCTCTTTTTCTCTTCTTTTCTTTTTGTAAAGTTTACCAGGCAAGCTGTTGGTGGTCATAACAACAGCAGCAGGAAGAACAACAGCGAGGACATAAAAACGAGCAAGGGCAACGGCAACGGCAGTGATAACGACAATAACCATAAGCAGGATGATAATAATAAGTGAGTGACTAAGTGAGTGAGTGAGTAAGTGAAGGCGCACGGCTACAAATAATGTTAATAACGACCCAAAGTCAGGTTACCAACAGGAAATTGATGCTGCCTAAAAAAAAAAAAGAAGTGGATGTAAATACTCGTGCGAGTATAGTATACGAGTGTTCGCTATTCAATAACCACACACGCACTGCCATGGCGACGAAGAACGAGGCTGGAATCGAAGAGAGTGGGGCATACTTTCAGGCGCAGGCGGAAAAATTGAATTGAACATTTCCCTTATGCCACACACACGCAGAGATACGGAAACCGAACGCGTGAGCTACAGAGTTGGGGTTGGCGCTTATGGCAGCCATGTGGGTGTGCTGATTGAACCACGAGGACAACGACTAACAGGACAACGAGCAGGACGAGCAGACGATCAGAACGGACGGTCATTGGTATGCCCGACACTGAATGACCCATTCAATTAAGCATGAAAAAAAAACGCTTGCGTGCGTCTGGTTGTGTATGTGTGGGCGATTTTTATTTTTTTATTTTTTTTTTCTTTACAAGGACAATGATAGCCGGGGCCATAAAAAAGGGACATCACATGTGAACAGCAGCACTTAAGAAGCGACAGCGGTCGCCGCAACAAAACACGCATCACTTGTCACACATACTTAGGACATACACACACACACACACACACACACGATTATATGTAACCACCCGCACTCACACACACGCATAGTTGTAGAGAGCGAATGCCTGTAGCCATACCAATAATGCCCCAGACGCATGCTTATTGTCATGTCCTGGCGTTGTTATTGAGGTGTAATACAATTTTTTGCTATGATACCCAACAATGCGCAAAAAAAAAACTGGAAATAAATAAAACGTCGACACAATCAAAAGGATAACGAGCAGGACGCGGCAACAAAAACAACACGTTGACAACTACCACGTCACATATGGCGGCATTAGTTTTAGCAACAATGGCGGCCGAGAGCACGAACCGTACCCTGCACACACTCGTAAACTTGCAATTGAGCCAATTTGTAAAAGTGCGGCCAGCACATTAATGACATTGGGCTGCCCAGACCAAGACCAGGACTTGTCGCTGGACTTCAGTCCAGCACCTGCGTCGCTCCTTGCCAGCCCCGGCACCGCTTTGGGGTCGCAAGATTCTACAACAGTACTCTGTTTGAATTCAATCAATAAAAATGTATTTGAATACACACATCGATAAAGAGCTGCTTTGTCAAATACTAGTACAAATTATGAGTAAGTGCAATACGCTGAGTTATAAAAAGTCTTCTACTTTAAATTTTAATTTTGAATTTAATAATTTGTCTTTGTTTTCTGATAGACAATCAATTTGAAAAAGTATTTTAATAAACAAGGATATAAATTATTTCTATCAATATTGTTCTTTAAATTATCATCACAATTGATTGGTTAGTTTAACCCATTTGTTAGTTTAAACATAAAGCCTTTAAATTTTAACAACATCTTAAACGTCATTACTTATTGTGTAAAAAAATATCCCTCTTTATCCTTAAATTAAGTCGAGAGAGCATGTATTTGTAGGTATGCATTGAAATACGCTGAGTTATTAAAACTCTTCTATACATGGAAATAATATGCCGTAGATTAAACTTGGGCAGTTATTGAATTTAAATTTAAGATGAAGAAACTAAAATTCGACGGATTTGTCTTTGTTTTCTGATAGACAATCAATTTGAAAAAGTATTGAAATAAACCAGGATATAAATTATTTCTATCAATATTGTTCTTTAATTTATCCTCACAATTGATTGGTTAGCTTAACCCATTTGTTCGTTTAAACATCAAGCCTTTAAATTGTAGAAAAATCTGAAAATATTTCAGATTTCCACCATTATATTATATACGTTGTTATATGCGGAAGCTCCGATACCTTTACATGGGATAAGCCGATTTGGATCAGTTTTAAATCGAACGTGAAGAATTTAGTTATTGTATCTTCTCTCTGCGAAACTCATAACAAGTCCTCAAATCGTATATTAAATGTTAGAAAAACTCGGCACGCTAATCAGGTAGATCAAATACTCTGCTGTAGAGTTGCAAAATAATCGAGGTCGACTGGATCGATCTTTTTCGATTTTCTTCAAAATACAATCGTTTAGTCGGTAACTGAACCAAACTGAATATTATTGTTATTTTCGATGAGATTGTACATTATTAGCGTCACTTTTAATCAACTATTTGCTTATCCCAAAAAAATTAAAATTGAATTTAGATTCTGAATCGTTTTTTTTACTGTACTGGTAGGACAAGCAGGTTCAGATAAGCATTTAGTTTGTCGGAATTGTAGAATTGTAAAAATAACACTAAGTAGAATAACTTCTGG